TGGTCTCCCTGAAAACAAGACCAAGTTGCGACAACGAGGTCAACCCACTTCTATCAATCGAAAGGGGACTTCGACCACACCAGAGACCACAACATCTTGGTCTTCATATATTCAATACTATTAAGTTGACTAATGTTATTCATGATCTATTGATATTTTCAGAATACACTAAATTGGTAGATATGTTACTCATCTTATAGCCTTCAGGAAACCTTGGTGTAGTTGGGCAGACCAGAAGCATCGAAATGTTCACAACTGGTAGTATCCCCAAAAACAGCCTTGGCAGCACTTTGGTTGCGGCCAACATTAACGGACCCTCCATAGCATTTATTCTCTCCTTCAGATCGGCAGTCATTTTTAGCATCCTCCTTCAGTAAGTTTTAATGACCAGGTATTTGATGTGAGTCAAATGCATGACTCGCTTAACTTCTTTTTTATTTGTGACTCAAAGTTCTATGCGGAGTTAAAAACTCTCTTAGTCTCGTAGTGTCCACGCGATGCCAGAACACGAGCCATATGGGGCTGGTGGATCAAAACAGCGATGCGCGTATCGCCTAAAATGCCCAAATAGGGCATGCTATTATTCAGAGAGTTGAAAGTCCCATTACTTTTCGAATATTCTGACGATCGCACGAAGAAACCTTAGAGGAAGCCATTCTTCATTTGCCCGGGCTAAATGAAATCATGCACGCTTATTAGTTCGGTCTGGTGGAGAGATTCAGCCAGAGCGAAGCAAAGAATAGCTTTAGACGCAGGCGATAACAGTGTTGTATGGGGCTAGTAAGAAAACGGCGTAAAGGGAGAAAATGTTTCAGTTCTCTTTAAGCAGCTAATGAGGCAAAAACTACCTTATCAGAACCAATTAAATGAATGTAAATTTCTATGCCTATTTCTAAATGAATTTCAGCCACAATCGGTGATTAGGGTAGAAGGTATCGATTTAAGTTTATCATGCGTAATTACTTAGATAATTCATCATATTTCACCAAATCACACCCTTGACTAGAGTACAGTTAAATAGGATGTCGTAACAACATAAAATTGAAAACAGTAGAAAAATCAATACTGGTTAAAACTGAAAGAAGGAAAATGGAAATTTCGTGTGCTAAATAGCTTGGGTAAAGTGGAAATTGTAAATAATTGCATCGAAATATCGACAAGAAATCATGTATAGGAATAGACCATATCTGCAAAAGCAACAGAAAAGGGTTCATGCAAGCAAGCACAACACAGTTGTGACTAAATTGCTAAGAGTTACAGTTAGCTGCAATTGTCCATTAAAAGTTGTGATTGAAAGTTTACAATTGAGTGAGTTCCAAATGAATCAGGTGGTCCGTCAAACGGTCAGCAGATAGGTTTTAATGAGAAAATAAGGTTAGGATCTCTACGACAATAAGGTTAAGGGCAAGATGACGACTCAGGCAAGGTTGCGGTCTTGCTCATTTTCCTTCTCAGACAGCCAAGTATAGGAACAAAAAAGGATAGAAGATGTGAAGACCAAGATGTTGTGGCCTCCTTGGGGACACAAATCTAATGAACAGAAGATTGGAGGAAGGTAGAGTTAGCGACAACTTTGCCTACTG